GGTGTAGGTGTTAAAACAAAGAGGGGTGATTGTACAGAAGTTGGAAATACTATGCTACAAGGAACTCTTGTTTTTAATCCTATATTTTATCTTGGTCTCACTTGTTTTTACAAATCTTGTTAAGTTTATAGGTGTTGCATATCAAACAGACACTTGAAATATTATTAAGTTTTTAGTATTGATAATATGATAATGAATATTAATTTTAAGGAAAATGTCAGCTAGACAGAAGGAATGAACTCGAGAGATCTGTTGTACCCCATGCTAAGTTAATAACAATATATCGTATACTTGAAAATTGCTAAGAGTAGATTTAAGTGTTCTAACCACAAAGCCATATGTATTATGAGGTAATACAAACACTAAATAGCTTGATTTAGCTATTCCACAACGTACACATATATCAAAACATCATGTTGTATGCCATAAATATATACAATTTGAATTTGTCAATTGAAAAATGCATAAATAAATAAAAATGAAAAATTTAACAAAAATGCTGAATTATCTAATGAAAGGACAAGAACCGTAGCTTAATTGGGAAAGTCAGCGTTCTTGAAAAGAAAGCTCCGAGCCCGCTGTCCCCGCGGGGCCTTAGTGGGGCGGCGGCCCGCGTGGTGAGGATCTGGAGGAGATGGGGCGGCCTGCTGGGCTCTGGGTCCCAGCCAGAGGGGCCCGCTGTGCTCGGCAGGGACTGTCACCAGCAGCCGTGGATCCCCGCGTGGGACCGGCAAGGCACCACTTCGTCAGCAGCTTCTTTTACTGTTAGCCTGGGAATTTCTGAGCGACACACACATGGAGGACATCTGTTTCCCGTGTTCTCCCTTCAGAGCAGTGAAAACGAGGATTTTGTTTGAGAAAGGAGAAGAGGAGAAGCCAGATATGAGCTCAGTGTTTTGAGAGCCTGGTCATGTTTCTGTATCTGCTGAGTTTGCTCCTGTAATATTTACTCCTTGGACACTGATTCTTTTTTTTCATTTCAATTAAATGAATGTCTTAGGCAATTTCAACTCAATAGCTCCCCAAGCCTAGGACCCTCCCGTGAGCCACAGACAGAGACATTTTATTCATTTGCTTCCTGGACATCACCACTGAGATGCTGGCCGCCTCAAGCCCAGCGTGTCCCCTACCCAAATGACAACATCACCCCTAACCCTGGTCCTCTTCTGATTTTTCATCCCCTCTTTCCGTGAGATGAAGCAGCTAATCTCAAATGACATAAAACATTTTCCACATCGTATGAGGCCTCCTTGCTCTTAGAGCGTGTGCACCATGGAGGCAGCTGAACGGGCCCATTGAATGCCCACCCGCCCATGTAGGAGCCTATTTAGCCAAGCCGGGGGCGGGGGAAATATGTGCAAAGCTCTGCTCTTGCAACATACAGATGTTAACAGTATACAAAAAGTCATTCATTTCATATTCCATAGTCCAGTAGAAAATTTTATGTAAATGAAGGTAATCGATTACCTAATACTTGCCCCTGGAATGTTCTCTGGGGCCTTGGCTGTCACTCTCTCTCTGAGCCATCCTCATAACGACTTGTGACCAAAGAACAAGCCCTTGTCAGGCCGGTCTTTTCCAAAGTGACTTGACTGAAAAACTTTTCCAGATAATGGAGGATAAAGAAACACAACCATGAAATGCAACATGTGATCCTAGATTGTGCTCCAGGTCGATAAAGGACATTCATGGAACAATTGGCAAACTTTGCATGAGGTCTGAAGATTAGATAATAATATTACGTCAATGTTAATTTCCTCATTTGGATCATTATACTGTGATTATGCAAGAGAATGTCCTTGATTTTTAGGAAATCACACTGAAGTCTTTAGAGATAAAGAGGCATTGTGTCCGCAACTCTTAAATATTTTAGGAAAAAAGTAAATGTGCGTGTTGGTATGCGTGTGTGTTCAGGTATTTGTATGCACACTCACGGAGGGAGAGGGAGGAATGATAAAGCAAGGTAGCAAATTGTTAACATTTGACCAGTCTTGGAAGGCATGGAGGAAGCCTTTGTACTATTTGCCCCACATTTTTTTCAAGCCTTAAATTATTTCAAAATAAGTTCAGAAAAAAGACCTTGATAGGTAGGAAAACTAACCAGGAGGAACCAATGACAGAGCGGAGAGATTGGAACTTGGAACACTTCTGGGCCTCTGGTGTGCAGTCTGTTCCCAACTCAAGTCCTATTGTTGGGTTTCCAAAGAGCGTGAGCTCTCGCCTTCTTTCAAATCAGATTCCCCCGAACTCCCCTCACTTGGCTAAACAGACAACATGTCTTTTTCTCCTGGCTAAGTTCCTCTGGTTACCCGAGAGGTCATGTCTATATCTTCTCCCCAGTAGCCTATGTAGAAGCTTGCATTCCTCTTTGATATTTCCCTGGGATCCACTTTTTCTCCCTACTGGAAGAGCCAAAGGCTGCATTTACCCATTGCCACATGTGTCAGTCAGAATACATCTGTCGGTTATGCTGCAGTAACAAACTGCCCCTAAAGTTCAGCTCACTTAACTTGTTGATTGCAACTTAGGAGTGGATCTCTCACTCGTGCTGCGTATCTGACAGAGCGTGTGAGGGCATCTCTGCTCATTGCAGTCACTCGGGACGCCATCTTGTCTCACGGGGCCAGAGCCACCACGGCAGATGAAAGGCAGGGTGGTGAGTTACTCACTGACTCCTTAAAGTTTCTCCCTGAAAGAAACAGAAGTGACTTCTATTCACATTACATTCCTCCTGAAGTCCAACCCTACGTTGAGTCTGTGAGGAGGAGAGGCAGAAATGTATTTGTAACATCCCTGGTGATTGTCGCGGCACTAACTCCTAGCAGTTAAGTTGACTTTAGGAGTTAAATGCAGGCGAGCAGCAGCAAAAGAGGCATGCGCCACAGGAAGCGGGGATGCTGAGGACCCGGGAGCTGGAGTTAGAAAGACAGCTCCGCCCAGGGTGGCCCGAGCAGCTCCTCCTCTGGGACTGCTCTGACCTCCCTTGTGCTCCCACTGTGACCCGCTTGGGCTTCTGTCATCGTGCCCTCGCTTTCTTCTGCCCTTTTTTCCTGTGACTTTCTGTCCGTTAGATGAATTTTATATGCACCACAAATGTCTGTTCAATGCGCACATCAACAGAAGGCACCTGTTATCCGCCAGGCACTGTGCTAGCTTCTGGGATATAAGGACAAATAAGTCACTGTAGACTCTGCTCTTGTGGCATTTCCTGGTTTGTCATGAGGACAGAGAGGAAAACGGCTATTTTGCATGTAGAGGGTAGAGCCATGCACAGCTGACCTATTTGGGAGGAAAGAGGATGGCCAAAGGAGGGGGGCAGTGGGAGATGGAGTCATGCTGTCCAGGTTCTCCATTCATCATCCTCTCTGGCCGGGAACAGCACACATGGTGCACAGTGCACTAGCGGGCAGCATCCGAAGTCACGGTGCTTAAGGGCTGCAAATGTGTCCTGTTTTTGCAAACAAGAAATATTTATTAGGCATCTGCTACAATAACAAAGGCTAATTCTACTTACATTTGAGTAGTACTTTGTAGTTTATAATTCAGGTTTCCCTGAAAATCACTGGCTCATCTTACAAATGAGGACACTGAACGTCCCAGCTGCAATACTTAGAAGCCAGGGTCCCGATTCCTGATCCAGGGCACTTCCCACTAACCCATCCTGCCTATGCCTTGTTTGAGACACCGCCTGCTGAGGGTCCCGCACAGTCTTGGGGAAGAGTTTTTGTGATGGAGTTTTTTTGGGATGGATGTGGGGCTAAGTCATGTGGATTTAGTCTGAGCCCTTGGTTTTTGCCTTGAGCCAAGTGAATCTATAAGATCCTCATTTTCTCTGGCTTCCTGTTGGATGATTTCAAGGATGAACAATGCAAGATAAAAGCAGCTTTCCAGGGGTGGGCACCATGTACGCTTGAGGAGATCACAGCTACCAAACAGATGCTTTGCTGACTCACAGCTGCCAGTGAACGGCCAGCTCTGCAGGGTGATGTCGTTGCCACGAGATGCAGGGAGATGGGAGAGGGAAGAAGAGGCCGGGTCCTGCCTCTCTCTTCGGGGTTTGTTTATCTGCTGCAGCTGGCAGCCAAGGAAGGGCTGCTGAGTCTCTGGGGCTGACACGTGGGGATGTTGTGGATGCAGGTAGCCTTATCATTTTCCTTTCCTAAGGTTTGGAAGGAGTTCTGGCCTCCTGCTAGCCTTGCATTGATTAAACAAGATAATGTAGGTAGAGCCCTTGGCACATAGTAAGTGGCCAATAAATGGTAACTGCTGTAGTCGTAATAATTACATAGTAGCGACCTTAACAATTACTGTAATAACAGAGAAATAGTGTTAGGGCAATAATTACTTAATAATCATGGTAATAATAAATATAATCATATCGTAACAATCAGTGGTATGGGGGGCAGTGGGAGGGCTCCACCCAGTGGCAGAGTTTTCATCAGCGATGCCTGATAACAAAGAGTGGACTGTGTCGAACTCTCTGTACTTTCCCCTGATTTTGCTGTGAACCTGACACTGCTCTAAAATGTAAAGCCTATTAAAAATTTTTTTTTTAAATAAAGGAAAGAACAAAGAAAGACTAACGATTAGTTGGTATTTTTGTTTTTCAATTCTCTAAAGACAATACTGCCCCCCACTGTACCCAGCGTGGGCCTGCTTCTACCACCCAACCCTTGGTGTGTCACTGATAATAGTTACTTTCAAATGGCTCCATGGCCATGCAGATATTCAAATGAGCAGCATGCAATGAGGAAGTAAACTTCCCCGGTAGGATGCCAGTTCCAGTGCTCTTTATTCACCGCCGGGTGTTGCATGCTGGGGAAACCGGCCCCAGGGCGCTGCTGGGAGCGGGAGCAGGTCTGGGGCGCGCTCTGCTCCGAGCCAAGCAGCCCCGGCACCCAGCGAGCTCTCCCCGAACTCGCAAACCAGGTCCAGTCTCGTCCCCAGTCACCCCGGGTCGGCTTCCTTTGCCCGATGAAAGGTTCTCTTCTCTTTGATAGGACAACGCCCAGCTGATCAGGGAGGTGGAAGTGGACAAGGTCTCCGTGCTCTCCGGGGACCAGGTGGAGGCCATCAAGCAGCTGTGGCAGGACCCGGGAATCCAGGAGTGCTACGACCGCCGGCGCGAGTACCAGCTGTCGGACTCTGCCAAGTAGTGAGTGCGGCCGCCGCCCGCGCCGGCTCGCGGGGGATGGTTGCAGCACGCGGGGCGCGGCGAACACCACCTCCCTCCGCTCCTCCGTCTCCCCGCACCTCCCCGACTTCCTGGGGCCGTCTCTTGCCGCCTCCTAAAACCCTTCGGCCACTGTCTCCCCAGGTGTCTCTCCTTGCCGACACCCACATGCTCTCACTGTGTTTTAAACCTGCCATTTTCAACGAGAGACTCAATCAAACTAGGGGTTCCCTTGGGGGGACTGATCTCATTTGGGGTGCTGAAATTATCTGATTTAAACAAGGAATGCCCTTGCTCTGGCTTCCACTTCGCTCCTCTCCATATCCCTCTGCCTTTCTGGTCTCTCCATCAGAGAAGACTGCAGGTCCCGTCGCCCTAACGCCTAAAATCAGCGCTCAGGCCCGCAGCGCCGCGGCCGGCAGTGCTGGTCTGGTGCTGCCCTCTAGTGGGGCAGACGGGCACACACAGGAAGCTCAGTCTGACGCCTTTGTTTGTCGACCTCCTGCAAGGGTTTGGATCTATAAAGCTCAAGTTCTAAATCATTGGTCCCTGAAGGTAAAAAGATTTCTATTTAGACAGCCCTGCATGCGAACTGTCCCGAGGCAATGCCTCCTTCAGCCTGGTTACTGGGCATATAGTTTGATCACCGGTCCTTCCTGAAGAGGTGATGACTCCTGCTTCTGGAGCTGGGCCCTTTCTAGCCTGCCCCGTGTCATCTTCCATCCTCTGAGAGCCCTGAAGTCCTGTCCCGAGACCCACCCCCTTCCCTTCAGGTGCTGCCACCGCCCTCTGAGCTGGCTTGGATGGGTGGTTTTCCTCCGTTATCTAGAGGAGACAGTGGGGACAAGGAAGCCACAAACGTCCCCTCCTATGCTTTGGACGGCCTCCCTTTGGTGTTTGTCCCAGGCTGAGAGTTTAATGTCATTAATCCAGGTTGGAATATTTAGGTGCAAAAAAGCATCAAGGCAGGAGAATAAAAGAAAACACAGTAAGGAGTTAGATCAGCATAGAAAAGAGATGGAAGGAAGAAAATGTCCCCAGGAGGAGGGAAAACTGCCTTTGACAGCCTGAGGAGCAATGACAGCTGAAAGTCAGAGCCAGCATGGCCCTTCCCTGAGCCAGCCTGGCATTGCCTGCTTCCGAAGGCCCTGGGGATTGGCCAGGGCTCTGATGTAGATGCATTTGGAAAAGGCCCACCGAAATGCTGCGGAATTCATGTAACCCTGAGAGCCGGGCACGGCCTCTGAGAGGGGCGTGGGAGTGCCTGGGGTGGTGGCCCAAGCTGCCACAGAGAAAGTGGCTCTCGGAAACCCATACAGTCCCCCGACCTTCTGAATAGGCGTTCACAGACTTCCTCTGTCTGGGTCAGTGATTCTCAGCTGCTTTGCTAGCGACGTCTGCTTATTTGGACATGCGCCCATTTCACAGAAGTTTGATGAGTGCTTGCGATATGCCCGCCTTACCACGGTGGTGAGGGCTGCAGGTACAACCATCCCTCCCTGCTCTCAGGCTGGGGGAGCAAGACAGGCGTAAATCTAGGAGTCACACATCAAAGTACAAAATCGAAAGAGCCGTAAGCCCTGCGGTGGTATCTGGGCAGCGGGGCAGGTGGTGGAAGCCTGACCCAGTGCTTTGCTTCTGGAGCCACAGGCTGTGTGGTGAGCAAGGTTTGCCTCCAGGCCGAGCTGCACAGCCCCTGACATTGGCCGTGCTGGGAGAAGGCAGGGAGCCCTCCAGCTCCAGCTCTGCTGGTGGCCAGGGCCTGAGTTACAATTATTTTACTAAAAAATGCCTTTGATATAATCCTTAAAGTTTTTTAAAAAAGCATTCTCTTATTTTACTACAGAAAAAATGATATATTTAATATATGGCAAAAAATAATCTAAGGCAAATTTGGGGTTATTTTAGGAGATGTTTAGTTTCTCAGTGTCTTTAACAGGAAAACTTTTGCTTGTTGCTGTTATTTTGAATTTCCCCTTGGCCTGTTTTTCGTCTGTATATTTTCGAGAAACTCTGTTTAATTCATTGAGCCAAGAGCATCTCCATTACATAACGTCCTCGGATGAGGGCGCGTGGGAGGGAGAAGGGCCTGTGGCGGCAGCAGGACAGATGGGGACTCTGAGGGAGCCACTTCCAGCGCCCCAGTCCCTCCAGCCCCGCCATCTCCCTCAGAGGCCGACTGGATGTGAGGGGACTGAGAACCCCGGAGGAGGAGGATGCGTGATCCGCACATTCCCAGAAAGCTCAGGACAGCGCTTCTCGTCCTGTTACCTTCACAGCAGTCGTAGGAAGGGTGGAGAGGCCTGGCCCGGGGCTGGCTGTCAAGAACGTCCTTGATGGAATGCATGTGTCTGTGGGGGGATCGCCGTGAGTTGGGGGTGACTCCCCTTGAGGAGGGTGGACACTTCTCCCTTCCCTGGAAGGAGGCTCAGCGCCTCGTCTCTGATCCCGCAGCTACCTGACGGACATCGACCGCATCGCCATGCCGTCGTTCGTGCCAACGCAGCAGGACGTGCTTCGCGTCCGCGTGCCCACCACTGGCATCATCGAGTACCCGTTTGACTTGGAAAACATCATCTTTCGGTGAGACTGTCTCCCCGACGGGGTCCATGAGGAGTTTGTCTGCCCAGGCTCGGAAGTCTGCAGACGGATTCTTCAACTTGTTATTCCTGAGCAGGGAGGGCTTGTGTCTCTTTGGGCAGAACGATGTTCTGTGCCACAGGGTGTTTAGAACTGTGCTAGGTCCCAAGTCCTGGAAGGAGAGGAACTCACCTTCCTATTACCCCTAGAGAAGAAGCGTTTCCTTGCTGGAAACGAGAATAACTCGTACGTGAGACACACACACACACACACACACACACACACACGCGCACACACACACACACACACACACACACACACAGGTGTGTACTTCTGCACTCTACAAATTGAATATACTTATTACTGACGTCTTTTCCTTAAAGTTGAATAATATTTCTTCTCTTCTGTTTCCTTCTCCAAGATTTATCCTTAGAGAAAGGAAACTAAGAATACAAAAATGTGTATTAAAATTACATAAAATAACATATACAAACTACTTTCAGCTGTGTAAAAATGTATGCATCCCCACTTACAGGAAATACTTTTGGGATGACTTAAACAGAACTTCATTGAATTTAATTATGGTAAAAAATGAATAATAATATGGGGCACATACGTAGCACTGCGGATTTCAAAGCACTTTCATATCCATCATTTCCCTGCTTCCTCCTCTCAACTGTCACACATGCTTTTCTAGTGGAGACAGCACAAGGCCAGTCCTCCCAGGTCCTGTCTTGTCCGCAGTTACGTCTCAGCGCTTCTTCAGAATTCTCGTGTTGCGGGTCCTCTGGTCCAGCCCCTCAGTAGATGTCCCGTATCTTGGTTAGCAGACCCCTGATTTTAACGGTAGCCCCTGTGCCTGTCCACCCATGAATTTATCTAAACCTTTTCAGAATCAGCTGCTGCTGGCAACTTCTAACACCTCGGACAGGGGCTCCCAAGGGTTTTGTTTGTTTTGTTTTAAAAAAGACTTTTATTTCTTGTAAGTTTATCTTTCTTGGGCTTTGGCGAATGGGTTTTGCGTTACTTTCTGGAGTCTGGCGATCAGGTTTAACATTATCAGCCAGCGACATCTGTTCTTTCACAGCTCAGAGCACCTCCCCCAGTGGGGTCTTTCTGACAGAAGAATTCTGAGCTTTGAAACGGAGGCCTTTATAGAATGGCTTCTTCAGCCCAGCCTCCTGACAATTGCATGTCCCTTTCCAGCTCCATCTCCTGCGGTGAGGAGGCACAGCCAGCCCGAATGCCTCACTGCAGGAGTGGCTTCGTCTCCAGGACATGGGTCAAGGACAGGGGTAGATTGGTTTTCTTTCCGGCACCTTCCTGGACGCAGTCCTGGGGGGTTGGCCTGTGTGCCACCAGCCACACTGGTCCAGTGTCTTCAGGGATTGGGGTGTGTGTGTGTGAGGGGCGAGGTGGGGGCGAGGTGTTACCTGGCAGCTCGTGGGCTGTATCTGCCCACGGTGGGTTTTCTTTGGCCCACTCAGTGTTACAAAAATTTTGAGCTAACGTTTAAAAATGGGGAGGTTTCACCTAAAGCACTTGATACCTCGTTTCTCCTGAGAAGCCAGAGGACCCGGTTGTAGTGAGCCTGCGTTTTGCGTGCAGCGGTCGGCTGCATCGGCCCTGGCGCCCGTGCAGGGGGTGCTTTTGTGCTTCGGAGACGTCCGCTTGGCTCGTCTCCATCAACTGCCTGGCCCCTGGAGCATTCCGGCTTGGGATTCCTGAGCTGTGACCCCTGGAAATCTTTCCCCAAAGACACAGATGAAGTCTTTGGATTTCCATACTGGGCAGAGGACACTTGCTGGTCTTTATAGGGAAGAAAGGGTGGCATCTATTAATACAGAAAGGATAAGTGGATAAATTAGAGGAGCCATGAAAAGAAAAATCGGCCCAGGGACTAAAGAAAGCTGGGGGGACCTGGGAGGTTGCTGGCTTTTCCGTCCTTTTGTATCTGGTGCCCTGGGACTCTACGGTGGTTGGCACAAAATCCACGTGTGGATAGCTTTGTTTTCTGCCTGGACTATTGCAGCAGCTTCCTAACCAGTGTCCCGGAGCGGGCTCCACCGAGTCGCCTTTGCATCTGGCTTCAGGCGCTCGGGCTACGTTCTGTGCCTCCTTTGCTAGGCAACATCCGGTGGTCCCACGTTGCCTAAAGCAGTGGTGTTCAAACACTGGAAACTTAGGACGCCTTTTCACTTTTAAAAATTGTTGAAGATCCCAATGAGCACTGATTTCCGTGGTATAATGATTCATGTCCTGGAGGGATCTGTGTTTCTATTGAACAGGATGGTGGATGTTGGTGGCCAGCGATCTGAGAGACGGAAATGGATTCACTGCTTTGAGAGTGTCACCTCCATTATTTTCTTGGTTGCTCTGAGCGAATATGACCAGGTCCTGGCTGAGTGTAACAACGAGGTACGCTGTGTGGGGAGCTTAGGTAGCTGCGGAAGCCAGAGACCTATTTCTGTGGTATCCAGGTCAGGCGGTAGAGCCTCTTCCTTAGCCTAAATAGTCTTGCTACTCAAACCCTAGTCTGTGGACTGGGTGCTTGTGAGAACTGCAACCTCGGTCTGATTTAGTCCAGACCGACTAAGTCAGAATCTACATTTTAACAAGATCAGAGGAAATTCAAATACATAAGAAAGGTTGAGATCACTAGCCAGGAACCCCAGTTCTCAAACTCGGATGCGCACTGGGATTCCCTCCGAGCCTGAGTCCAACCCTGGAGATTCTGATTTAAGTGGTGGTGGGTGTGGCCTGAGCGTAGTGAGTGTTAAAAAAACTCGCCAGGTGAATCTAATGTGTTGCTGAGGTTGGAAATCACTCAAAAGCAGAGGTTCTCCTCCTTGGCAGCATAGTGGAGTCTCCTGGGGAGCTTTTGAAAAATGCCATCTCTTGGACACCATACTAGAGATTCGTATTTACTGGGTTTAGTTTGGGAGTTTCTTTTCCAAGCCCCTTGGGGATTCTAATGAACAGCCAAAGTTCAGCAACACTGTCTCTAATAAATGTTATCTGAGCACGGGCTTCCCAACCTCCACCTGCCCATGGCACTCCCAAATTCAGTCCCTAGTGGAGTCCTGGGCTGCTTGGGATTGCATCCGCCTTCACTTCCCCTGGGAGGGACTCGCTCAGGGCAGCGGGGACTAACCCAGTGTCCCCTCAAAGCTGCCATAGCACTGGCTCGTCCAAATCCATTAGCTGGATCTGCCCGGAAAGTGAGGAGAACCATCACTGTTGCTTCTTTGTGAGGTTGGGGGTGGTTTCTATGCAATACTAATGTCCTCCCCGTCATCTTTTCCCTTGAACTTGCACAAGACCTCTTGACCTTTTAAAAGATATCTCGTTTCCAGGGCATGAAAGTGAATCAATAAAGAACTCTATCTAGGATTAGGCAATAACTGTGAACAAACTGTGTCTTGTATTTCTTTTTTTTTTTGAGATAGAGTCTCGCTCTGTTGCCCAGGCTGGGAGTGAGTGCCGTGGCGTCAGCCTAGCTCACAGCAACCTCAAACTCCTGGGCTCAAGCGATCCTCCTGCCTCAGCCTCCCGAGTAGCTGGGACTACAGGCATGCGCCACCATGCCCGGCTAATTTTTTCTATATATTTTTTAGTTGTCCAATTAATTTCTTTCTATTTTTAGTAGAGACGGGGTCTCGCTCTTGCTCAGGCTGGTTTTGAACTCCTGAGCTCAAACAATCCTCCCGCCTCGGCCTCCCAGAGTGCTAGGATTACAGGCGTGAGCCACCACGCCCGGCCATCTTGTATTTCTTGAGAGCAGACTTTTCCCAGAGGAGCCCAGTTATATTACCTAATTAGTGGAGGATTAACCCATTTACTTGTATCATTGTGCGAAGAACAGAAATCTGCTGCCCAGCTCTCCGAAGTGGGGATTTTTTTTTAAATAAAAAACATCCAGTTATCAATATAAAAAATTAGTTCCAAATCTGTCTCGAAATTATTTGTGACATTTCTCAGGAAACTCAAAATATTAGTCAGGTGCACAAGGGACCAGTATCTTAGCCCAATATGCTTAGAAATTAAACATTTTCTCCTCTCCTAAAAACCACAAAGTATTTTGAGAAAGATTGAGTGGTTGCCACTCCCGACTTTCCCCCGCTGGTTGTGGATTTGTATTGTATCCACTCAGTTTGCTGTACAGGAAATTTTTTTTCAAATATTGCGTGTCCTTGAAGATCATTATAGACAAGATCACAATAAATTTTAAAGAAGCTTTTCAAACAGGTGATGGGTTGCTTCTCTGGTAATATATTCCGGATCTCAATCCCCAAAATGTCTTAATTGGAAAATGAGCCCAGGTGTCTGGGAGTTGTAGGGAAATAGAGATTTATGGCACGTCCTTCTGGAACATGTGCACTGAGCTTTGAAGTTTTCCAGCCTGATCTCTTCCCTTCCTAAAGGGAAGTTGTTTCTTTCCTCCTAAAAATATTTGGGAGAGATCAGAGTGCTATCTAGAACAAGTATTGTCACCAGATAAGATTTGTATGTGCCCTGTCTGCTCTCCATAAATTAGGAGCATTTAATAGTTTCTTGCCTATGTCTAATGTTTAGAAATTATTACTGTCCTTCTAGATAATCTTTACCAGATCCCACTATTACACAGGCTGGGGAAAGTTATTTAAATGTTACGAACAACAGTGTGCTCAGCCATCAAATGGGGACACTGTCATGCTTGTAAAGTGTGGCACAGGGTAGGCTTGGGAGCATTGGTGGTCGTCTCTGCCAGCGGCTAGCATTCCTCCTTGGGCAGTGGCCCGGCTGGAAGAGCCTTCCTTCCTCCCTCCCTCCCAAGGCCCAGGCTGGAAGCCAAGCCAACTGAAGTGGCCATCTCAGGTCTGAAGCTGGGGCTTCCCCACTCGGTAATCACAACAATTACATGACACAGAAAACTTTTGTTAAATGTGGGTATGAACCTTCCTTCTCCAAGTTGCATTAAAGCTTTTCTTATTTCCTTACATATGTGTCTTGGGCTAGAGAAGAGTTGGGGTACAACAGGCGAGGGGACCCAGAAGGGGTGATTAATCAGAGGGAGGGGGAGGGGGCGATCAGAAGCAGGAGGCCAGGTGCTAGTGGGCAGATGTGCTCACCAGCTTCAGCAGAACAAGGACCAGAGACTGCAGCAGGGCGACAGGATAGACCAGTGATTTGGCATGTTGTTTCCAAAGTATTGTTTTGTTTCTAGTTTATCTTAAGTCCCTTGTTTCTCACCTAGAACCGCATGGAAGAGAGCAAAGCCTTATTTAAAACCATCATTACCTACCCCTGGTTTCTGAACTCATCTGTGATTTTGTTCTTAAATAAGAAAGATCTTTTGGAAGAGAAAATCATGTACTCTCATCTAATTAGCTATTTCCCAGAATACACAGGTAAGTGTTCATCTTGTGGGCAATGTTTCTGTGTCGATCCTGTCCACTTCCTGGGCATCAGTCCAGAGGGGCCACAGCTCACAGGGGCTCCCTGAGCTGCCTGGAACAGTGTCTGTCACCCTGTGAACGGAAGGAAGCTCTAGCTGCACCTCCTGTGTTACTGCCTCAGCACCTCCACGCTGCCTCTCAGTGCCTGGAGTACACGTGCTGGACCCCTCTCGCAGACTCCAGTTTGTTCTCCAAGACTCCACTGAGGGCTCCGCTCCCCTGGGAAGCCTTTCTGACCCTCCCCTGCCCTTCTACCCCACAGCAGGGGTGCCTCCCCGTTCCCGTAGCTGGCTCCCCTTGCTCTCCCATGGCCCTCATCACGCTGTGTAGTATATTATTGTTATGCACAGCTATCTGCTTGCTCAGCATTCTGCCCAGTCAGCTCCTCAAGGGCAGAACTGTGCCCCATTTATATCTGCAGCCCCTGAGCCAGTCCTAGGACCTGGCGCTTCTTACGTGCCGGTTAAAGCGTGGCAATCGCCATTCCCAGACACGGGGCGACTCTCAAGTTCTTTTTACGTAACCTGTCCAAGGCAGAAGGGTTTCGTGCCCTACTGCTAATTTATTTCTGGTACAGGAGGTTTCAAATACTGTGAAATCTGGCATTGATATTTACAGGATTAGAGCCCTCAAGCTTTAAAACCAACCTAATAATGTTAGTTCCTGCATTCTTCCTTTTCCCTCTCCCAGCCCCCATCTGTCTGTCTGTGTAAGTTAATAAGGGTTACTTCTCTTCAAGAGTGTTCCAAATCAGAAAATTAATTTGGGTCACTATTTTTAAACAAAGCACCTTAAAGTACAATTTTTTAGATACCCGAGGACACTTTAAAATACTGCTATTTTATGGGTTCATAATGAGATACAATAAAAATAATGTTCCAGGTAAAATATTCCCTAGAAATAAAGTAAGATCAAAGAAGGATCCCCAATAAGAACAAGAGTACCTTAAAAGTGGTTCTTGGGAGGAAATGGTGAGTCTATCTTTCTTATTTCTCTAATTACACTTGTGACTAGGACCAAAGCAGGATGTCAAAGCTGCCAGAGACTTTATCCTGAAGCTGTACCAAGATCAGAATCCTGACAAAGAGAAAGTCATCTACTCCCACTTCACGTGTGCTACAGATACAGAGAATATCCGCTTTGTGTTTGCTGCTGTCAAAGACACGATTCTCCAGCTCAACCTGAGGGAATTCAACCTAGTTTAAAAGCTGCTGCGCATTCCTCCCCTGTAACAGAAGACACGGTTTGCAAGCTCTTCTTGTTTTATTTGCAAGTGCTTCTGACATCGCCTGAGCCAGCCCCCTGTGCCAGGAACCAAGGACATCATGCGGATCACAGGGAGAGAGATGGGTGTTAGGACTTGGAAGAAATTTGAGTTTACGAAAATATTTAAGTCTTTAATTCTCAAGTTGTTTTTATAATTCTTTTCTTGACTTTCGTGTCAAGACACAACTCTTACAGTTTGTGTAATCTTTGAATTTGGTACTTTATAGAATTTTTAAAGGCCACCGTGATTTACTGGTTTTTTTAAATTAAATTTTAAGTGTGTTTAAAAATAGCCATTTAAAAATTATGTAACAGAGGGGCTGGTTAATTTATAGATCACGCCTGGAGACCTCTAGAATTAATTTGGGTGACTTTTTTTTTTAAAGAATATTAATGGATTTGAAGCTTTTTATTAAATCTTGTAATTTAGAGACATTTCTAATTGAGTGTTTTTCTCTCTTCATGCTGAAGAACTCCTTTAATATGCCACCAAAGATTTTTTTAAAATGGTTGTGTGTTAGTTAACTTTCTAAGCCAAATTAATGAATATATCAGTATATCTAATTTAGTTTTGCCACATTTTGATAAGCATGAAGCCAAAGTTGACATGTGGGCTCTCGATAGCATATATGTTATGCTGAAAAACGTGTATGTATGCTTGTGTGTGTGTATATATATTTTTTCCCAATGTATGTTGACCAGGTCTTGTAAACTTAAGAAATGGCTAAAAACCCAAATTGTTTAACAGATGTTATGTAACCCGTCCCACAATTCTGATGGCCACTACAGATTGCTATGTTTGAATGACGTATGCTGTGCCTTTCTGAGGAGGCTAAGAATATACCACTCTGCTATTAACTTTGGATTATGTTGTGTTTCTTATAGCTCATGGTTGATTAGTAGTTCTGCTCCTAAAGAGAAAAAGGCTGTGGTCTTAATCGTTGGTAATGCAGAAACAGAACTAAGTTTCCTCCTTTTGGGGCAAGTCTGTATTCATCATGTTATGTTGGCGCTCCCTTAGTAGCTGGCTGGGTAAAGCAAAAGCAGAATCCTCTGGGAAGCACTGAGTGCTTCAAACTAAGGGCCCAGATGGGTTTGTTTCTGCCTTTTATTTGAGGATACACACACACACACATTTGGGGATTTAAGGTGTGATATATCTCTTTGAAGTCAGTCTATACAACGTACCTGGACTGGTTCCACAATGCATCAGCATTCCTATAGCTGCCCTAAGCCTTCCTTTCAGCCAATTACTGGACTGTCAGGTTCTTATTCTGTGGGAACAATTCCAAATGTGAAGCTCTTAAAGAGCATCAGTGCTGGGAAAAACTGAAATTATGCTCATCTGTAGTGATTCTATGATAGCAACGTTAAGCTTTAAAAACGAATTCTCACTCAAGAGATAAATGCAATAGCAAGAATTTTTGTGGAACCTGACAAACCAATGTTAAAATTTGTCTGGAACAGTCAAGGTCCACGAATAACCAAGATAGTTTTGCACAAGACAACAAAGGGATGGGTATGTGGCTCTTCAGGATATCTAGAAACATAAACAAAAAGACAACTCCTCCCTCCCAATGGGCTACAGTTATGGCCAATTAACATACGAAAAGGGCTCAACAGAATCCGGTAATCAGGGAAATTAAACAATATGGAATCCTGTTTTTTATTTCAAGTGTTTTCTAGCATTGAGTTATTGGTTGACATTTAAAGCATAAAAGAAAATGATGGCTTTCGATTACTCTAGTTGCACAAGGGTTGTCTGGAATTAATCATTCAAAGGGTGGTAACAATAACTTATTTTCTTAAGTCAAGGAAAGGCTGAATCCTCCATATCAGAGGTGAATTAATTACCTCTGCCAATACTGATTCTGTGGGTAGAAAATTCTCCGCTAGCCTTTCTTTTAAAATATACTCATTACTTACTGAGGAAATGAGCCATTTGAAGCTTTCTTAGATTGACAGGCACAGCATTGGTAGTTAAGAATTCACTAAGTATTACCACCCAAAGCTTTTAGTCAGCAATAATCATACTGGGCTGAAATGCTGTCTGCTTTGACTGAAAAATTAGGATCTCAGGCAATGTGTTAGTTATTCACATTTATTTAGGCCCCAAGGAGGGTACAATTTGGATAGGCAAGCGAAGGCCATTGATATTATTTCTAGTTCTATCCCAACACTAAAAACAGAAGCACACTAAAGATCAGAAATCTTTGACTCAATTTATTTGAAAAAGGCATACATGGTTAAAAAGGGCAGTCATCTTACCATGCAATCCAAATCTACCAGTATCAAGAAATAATTATTGTTTAGAAAAAAAGTCATTAGTGAGCATAACCAACCAATGTTCAGGAAAAAAAAAAAAAAAAAAGACAAGACTAAGGTCATTTTCAAGAGGAAGAAGTTCACTATAAACATTTGTGTTTATAAATTATCTTATCAGAATGCACAAAACCAAGGCAGAGACTGTGTAACAGGCAACTGTGTGGAATCCACATACAAGAGAGGTAAGGAACAGAAAAGTGAAGAAAATAGTGCAGCGATGCAGAAATATTTATAAAACTAATTATCATAACCAATGACCATATTTTCACCACAGAATAAGCATTCCAAAGAAGCACAGACTATTTGGTCAATATAAAAATTAGCAAGAGAAAATATTTTTAAAGTGCACCTTTCCTGAAAAATTCATTTTTATATGTAATACACAGTCATATACAGAGATGATTTTAAAATGTCTTAACAATCTATCTGACCTTGTAACAAGTCCCAGATACAATTTCTAATAGTTTGTGAGTGTGAGTATAAAATCATTGATACTGAGAATATTTCAATGCAATCAATCTATGCCACATTTTTACTTGAATGTTTTCCAGTCTAAGAATTGGGAACTTTGGGTAACCAACTGAACACTGGAAGTAGATGGCCTAACAGAAATGTTGGGGTTTTCCAACATGTTCTACTTTAAGTACACTTCTGATTATTAGAAATTTCATTATACCAATCTCATAGGGTTTCTTGTTACAAGGACTTCACTAGAAGGAACACATTATTAAGGTATCAGAGTAATACTAAACGAATGGTTCAGTGACAGACAGGGATTTTCTATCATAGCAGTTGGATATCTATCATAGCAGGTGTTAATAATACAAATTAATTTGTATATGTATAAAGCAATAAAAACTTTAAAAATATACCCTGTCAACCTATAAAATTTGAAGATACATTTCTCATGTAGTTCTTTGGGTAAACAAAATTATCATTTTTTTGAAAATGCCATAATGCTTTTAAAAAAGTAGAACTAATCCATAATTCTAAAGAAAAATATTTTTTTTAAACGACACAGAAGAAATTTATTTTACAAAAAAGGAAATAAAGTAGAAAAACGTTTCAATTAAAGAAACACGAGTGAGGTTTGTAATAGAGTAGGAGTCAGCATTTTTGCAATGTGCTGGCCTTGCTTTTCAGATAGCCCTGAAACAAATACTACTTTAGACCAATTGTGACAGAAAGAAAAGTTGGAAAAAAAGTTTGTACAAATAGCCATATTGGCCAACAACTGAAAATACAGATTACAAGAATCATGAAATTTTAACTGACTACTCCTAGCCTGATTAGGCTGGCATTAACCATAAGGAATAACTTCAAAAGTATATCTCAAAGGATTAGGCAGGAGAGTGAATGGGTTTCCTTTTAGAGTAAAAGAGCTATATGTGATACTGAATAGCACCAAAGAAAATCAGATTGACTAAATTCTATATTGAGTCCTGCATATGGAATACGGGTTTTCAACATTTTCTACTTGGATCTTAAAGAAATGAGGAAATCCGTTATCTTTAGTTAAAATGCACTGACATTTATATAGCACCCCCCAGCAAATGAGTATTTTGGCCCTGTAAGAATGTGCCCTATGTATTAGCCCCACATTTTTAAAGGCCTTTGCTACCTATGTGGTCAATCAGCCAAAAGGCAGATGGAGCAAATTCAACCTCCTCAAAATGAAAACTTCTGTTCCCAATTCTAGTAAAATGCTTAGTGGTAAAGAGGTTGAAATACATTTAGGTAAATGATATCAGGCAGCCTTTTTTGGGTTCTGTTTGTAGATCTAATTTTTCTATGCTTTTTCTGGTCCCACTGAATCATCTGAGGATATCTGATAAACAGCAAGAAAGGAAAACATTTTATAAACCAAAACAAGAGCGATCCTATCTTCTTACACTGAAGAAAAAGACAGTGCTCATAACCTGAAGACTTCTTGAGGATCTGCCGCTCCTTATCCGAGGTCAGCCTCCACACTATGCAGACTGTTCTGATAATCGCAGGATGGCCCATGTCTCCTATAGCAGTCTTTAAAGCTTTCTTTTTTTTAAATACTGCATTTCACAATAGAAAACACTATATATTGTGACCCGGTATACACAGTATATAGATTATTTATTTAAGTGAAACAATATTTCAGGAGACAATACTTAACCTTTTTACATGTTCTATTACTCCTTTATTTTCTCTCTATTCCAGTTTTAAAATACGCTGGTCTTGAGCTGTTATATTGATTTTATGACCTACAGTTTGCAAAACACTGTCCTTGAGGATTTTGGTTGATCCTGACAAAAGGTAAAAAGCAATGGCCCTGGAACCCAAACAGATTTCTCTGCACTGTGTTGGCTGGGCCATGAAAACATCCAGTGCCAGACAGCGACTTTCGCCTGCATATGGCACACACTTCTAGCTCCTTTAGACAAACTAACCAAGTACACTGTCCTAATTTTTCCAATGCAGAGGCCTATGCAAGCAGGCATTTGGCATAGTCTGAAGTATCAACTAATATTGGTAATTGATAATTGAAAAAAAAACAGGTGCAGATCTCTGGGAGGCTGAGGTGGGTGGATTGTTTGAGCTCAGGAGTTCGAAAACAGCCTGAGCAAGAGCGAGACCCCGTCTCTACTATACATAGAAATTAATCGGACAACTAAAAATATATAGAAAAAATTAGCCGGGCATGGTGGCACATGCCTGTAGTCCCAGCTACTCGGGAGGCTGAGGCAGAAGGATCACTTGAGCCCAGGAGTTTGAGGTTGCTGTGAACTAGGCTGACGCCATGGCACTCTAGCTCAGGCAGCAGAGTGAGACTCTGTCTCAAAAAAAAAAATAAGAGGTGCAGAAAATGCAGCACTGAGCAGCATCTCTTTTTATTATTTTACCAAACAGGCATAGGATACTACTTTGTGTGATATTTCTAAGAGATGAGGTAGGTAGGCTAGGTGCATCTAACTCACTGGGATGTTACTGCTATTACTCACCATCAGAAAAAAATGAGAGATATGAAAAAAGATCATGTAAATTTAAGACAATCTTTATTTGGAGGTCACAGGATAGTTGCCTCCCCAAATGGATTAGGATTATGGAGGAGAGGGGGCAGGGAAGGACTGCCTACAGGCAGTAATGATTATTTAGGGACCAGAAAACAACTCAGCTATACTAACCTGACCCTAGGAAAAATTCCAAGGTCTTTTTAATGCTAGGGAAGAAACAGCAAATATATATACTCCAAAAGGGAAGACACTGGAGAAGTGCACGTGCCCTTTGGTTCAGAGAGTATTTTGTAAACGCGAAGAAATTACAACCTTCTCTTTGTACCAGAAATCAAAGTTGCTATTTCTAATGATCATGGTTTTCTGGTGGAGAGCTGGCAGGGAACAGACATTTTGCCTTGGTCTTCACACAACTATTATGGATCAGAACATATGCTGTGCTGGAATTAGGGCCTGGGAATATAGCTAGCAAATAATACATAGAGAGAAAGGACACAAGACTCAGCACCTCATTCCACAGCAACTACCCAACAACTAAGACAAGTTTAAAGTTCCCAGAGAGCCATTAAATGTATTAAATGTAATTCAGGGCAGATTGTTTTAAAATACAGTAACATTCTGGACTCTAACATTCAAGAAAAAGGGACTATAGAATCAATCATATAACTGTAAGTTGTAAAATGGGATGCTAAAAAGACTGACTCATTGTTATTGATGTTCCTAGTTTTTTTGTTTAGATGAAGACAATCTTCTAAAATAATCGATACACTACAGCTCATGAAACTATGAGTCCCTCTACTCTAGAGATGGAGGAGGTGATGGGAGCAGGTGATGGGTAGTTGGCTGGCAGGGAAAGAATAAGAAGAGATATTGTTAGATTGTTATGGTAAGGGAACAGGAAGGACAGGCACATTGGCTTTGTATGTGAACTAGTTATAAGACCCACTCCTGTTGGCTGCCAGAGGATACTGGAATTTTTATGTTTACTATTTTAGGCTTTTCTGCTTCACTGTGATACACTCAGGGAGTCATGAGTCTATAATTATTCTGAGAATGCTGAAACCATGAAACTGAAGTGCGTAATGAAGTATTTGATTAATGGCACTGAATGGAACTTCACTAAAGCAACATTTTGGATGAGGACAATCTGATGCAAGCCTTCAGACTACCTCTACTCTTAGGTTTAATTCTGATGTATGCAAAATTGGAGGAGCTCAGCAACAGAGAAAATATATACATTACTTTGAACAAAGATCATCATGGGGACACACACTTTCATATAGTTTGAAATTTGTCATCTTTTGATTCGTGTTTAGCAAAGAAAAAAGCATTCTGGGGAAACTACTGATAATAAACAATGTATTTTAGTAATCAGAGAGAAATCAATAGTATTTAAGAGAAGTATCTGGTCATCAGGAAATACAGTTACAGTCTGGCATGCTGTTTATTTTAGCTTTTACAACAAAGCAAGGGTTTGAGGAGCTCAAGAATTTCACGACCATTGACTATACAGAGTTTTCAATTCCAAAAACAGTTTATAATAATTTGGCAGCACATAAAACATGCATCAAATACTATTACTCAATAACTAAGACACTGTATCATTCCTTTTATAATTCACCATCATATATTCATTTCCTTTCACTTGAAACAGTCCATTAATATTAAAGTGCAAAGATCTTGGACAAAAACCAAGAAAGAAAATCCCACGTCTTTATTTTTACTAATGTGCAGCCCATGATTTTTGTTCTGATGAGCTGGACATTAAAAGGAGTGATTTTCACTTGAATAACTGTAGAGAAAGCAAACCAGAAATTCTCAATCTATTGTTAACAGGACCAATTACTGGGTTTGATTTTAGGGTACACACATTTACTTACGAGAGGCAGACTGTTCTGAAGTATAACTACTATATCTAAGATGTCGGGAATTTGTTTATTTCATGTTACCAGTGACTAGAAAGTAGGTATTGTTAAGGCTTTAGAAATTTTCCTTTGAAATCAGCAGTCTATTAAAAACATGACCTGGGTAAACTAAGTAGAGCTCATGGAGTTGGCCTGAAGAAGTATTTCATAGGCTCTGAAGTTCTGAGAGAGACTTTTTCCCTTTTGGGGTATGATCACTCATTTCTTCAAGCTTTCTTAAGGCAAGGCTTGAAGAAATATTATTCAATCTATGTTATACATTATATAAAAAGATTGTTTTTCATAATCATGCTATGCATTTTAAGTATAATTCAAACCTATCCTTTATTTAAAAAATAAGGAAAGTGATACCAAAGTATTTTATCTTTAAAAAGAATTTCATGATTCTGAAGAAACCACCACCAAAGTTCTCTTCATACCACTGAGGCAATGGCTGATTTGATCACTTACCCATCAGTCAGAGAGTTTGAAATAAGCATGATAGAAGTTTAAAATGTGAATTAGGAACATTAAAGTTGGTTCCATGTAGAGACTAATTATGGGCAACCTCTCCACGACTGCCGAAAATTACTTGGAGCAAATATTTGAGATTCATAAAAGAAATGTTTCTTCTTTTATAAAAAAAATTAGAATTATAAACAGATGCATGATTCAAGTTACTAAACCAAATGGATCTCTGAACAGTTGAAATATTTTAATCACATAGTTGTTTTACCTGATTCTGATTTTTTTTAAAGCATCTACAATACAGGGTACTTGAAATTATTTGTGTAATATACTTCCCAAACAGGTTTTGGAAGGTACAGTCTAGAAGCTATAATAATTTATTGCTGTGTGTCTTCAGGTGGCGTTCTCCATCAGAGGCTTGGAGAAGGTTCTCTTGCTTCTTCTAGCTTTGTGAGGATCCACTGTAGTGGGAAAATAAATCGACATTTACTTACTTCAATGAACTGGCAATGAAATAAAATGTAATGCATGGAAATCTAGAAGTTGGCTTTCCAGTTTTAGTTAAGTGTATACTGATAGCCAATACATAAAAAAATTATACTGTAAATAGATCACTCACTTAAATGGCCCAGATGGCTCAGAGACAATGGTACTAGGTTTGATTTAATAGTAGGAATAGTGTTTTTCTAAGGTCTTTGGACTTGGATGTTTATCTTCAGAATAAGAAAAGTGAAATGAACCCTCCTGAGAGAAAAGGGTAATTCTGTCAGCTGGATTGAATAACTGGCACAGTATAAAAATTATTTATGCAAAATTCCATCCAACCTGTGTCAATTCTGTATCACAAACCTCCATGATTCCACATACAGCAGCAGTCCCCGAACTTTTTGGCACCAGGGACTGGTTTCATGGAAGGAAATTTTTCCATGGACCGAGGGTGGGTGGGGTGGGGTGTCGTAGGCTGGGGAGAGGTGGTATGGAGCTCAGGCAGTGATACATGGCCTGTTTTCTGAAAAGGCCATGGACCTATACTGGGCTGTGGCCCGGGGGTTGGGGACTGCAGATATATAGGATTCTACTGATTGAGTAGGAATGCGTACAATTCTACAGTGGGTAGCAGCATAGCAAAATGCTATTTTATATGCTCTCACAATACATTTTCTACTCTAAAAGAATTTGAAATTGCAAAAATAAAATATAAATGTAATGCAAACCTTTCTATCAATAATGTCCGTTATTATTGGGCCTGCATAACAGATAAAAGACTTGGGGGTTATCCTGGGGTTATTTCAGTATAAAAAGATTTAGCAGAGATGTTTGTACCTCTTTAACTTAAGAAGAACTTAATAAGAATAGCCCTAAGATAAGCAGAGAAAGAGAACTGAGCTCAGTAGCCTTCTCTGGATATTTCTGGTAGAGCAGGATGATTAAAAACAATCTCTCTGGGATAAAGTCACATGGTGACAGGGACTAAATGGAAAATTTATTACAGAGAAACTGAAATATGTGGAAATGTCCTTCAATTACATGAAAGGAGGCAGCCGAAAAGTCTTGCTATTACCATGCTCCACTCTGTCTCCCTGTTCCAGGTGACATGCGTATTAAAGCTCTAGTTACTTTATTCCTCATTGTAACTTGCCCCCTCTTTTCTGTTTTCTATGTTAGTATGCCAGTGCTGCCTTATGTCGCAATGTATAGACAGAAAATTGCATAACACGTGCTAACTGGTCCAAGGTGTGTGTGTGGGGTAGGGGTAGGAGAGGCCCCTAGTTTGGGTCCAGATGTGATAAGTAAACTGATAAATAGTCATACAGAGACAGGACCCTAGAGCTGTATGAGCCCTGTGCTCTAAGTCGCACAACACAGTGGGTGCTACTCAGTGTCCCGGAAAAGCATCTTAGTTGTGATCATTGAGGTCATAACCAGTTCCACAGTCTTCATGTGCTTGACAGTGTACATTCTTGTAATTGCCATACTCCCTAACACACGTACAGTGCTTTTCAGTTCATATCATTCCTGTTTTGAGGAAACTGAGGTTAACTGACTTCCCTCAAGATTCTACAGTCAAGAAGGAACAGAATCGGTATTCAAACCCAGATTTTCTGGCTATCGGCCTGGCTTCCTTTGGCCTGTACCATGCTATGGTAACATTTTTTTTTTTTTTTTAATCACTGAGGCTGTGCAGTAGAGAACTCAACAACGTGGGGCTATACTTTCCCTGCTGGAGCTGACAGATTAACACTAGAATGTAATAATTTGCCGACTTTTTTTTTTTAAACCAAGTACTGCAATTAAGATTTAAAAAGATGGAGCAATTTGGTTTGAAAAGCAACTAGGTGTGCTGAATTGAATCTAGTGAAAAAGTTTGGGGGAAGTATTATCTAGTTACAGATAATAAAAAATGTCAAAATATAAAAACAAAATTAAAAAAAATACCCACTTATATACCTTTAAAAAATAGTCTATTTACATGGCTTTCTTTTTTTTTTTTTTTTAAATTTCCCTAAGAGCTGGAACATTTACATGGCTTTAAAGTGAGTAACTCCTATCTGTTTAAATAAAAGATTCATTATATTTACCCTAGCATCCTCTGGGGTCCTGAAGTTAATTATTTTTCCAAACTCTCTGGCATGGAATACAGACTTCACCCGTTCCTTTAAACAGAGTAAGTAAATTAATTAAAAAGAAAATCCAGTTGTAGAAATACAATAAAAAATGCCATAAAGCTTTATTAGTCTATGCTTAAAGTGCCATCTTACACAAATCACATACCTTAAAGAGTCATGAATGAGGAACTGAGAAGGATCAAAACAAATGGAAAGGAAGACTACATTCTAACATACCATCATCATTACTAAACCTAAGTTAAAAAGCTTAAGGTGAGATTTCAGTTTATAAAGCCATAGAAGGTTGATGTAAAGGATGGGAAAGAGACAAGTCAGGGAGCATTTCTGCTGTGGTTCCTCTCCAAATAATTTCTCAGACAGTTCTTCATACGTGGCCATGGAATCATAATTGAGTCAAGGTCAAAAATAACATACGTGTGTGTATGCATATATACATACACACATACATGTGTTATATGGGTGTGTGCATGTGTCTATGTATAAACTAGTCATGCTATAAGAATGTAGTTTGGAATCAAAGAAATCAGGGTGGGTCCTAGATCCTAGATGATTTTCCTACACTGTTTATACTCCTTGGATATTAGGTTTAGTATTTGTGGGGGAGAGGAGAACTGTCTAAGCAGATATTAAGCATTTGAGGGACAAATAGAAAGAAGTAAAAGTATTGAGATCAAGGATGGTGTTTACCTCTGTGACTATGGGTAAGGTCACAGAAGAAACAACGTGGAGGTTTTACTAGTCTAACAATTCCTATAATTCAAATATCCATGCAAATATAGATTTTAAGAGAAATCAGATTCTTCCATTAAAAAAAAAATGGGCCTGGGTCATGCCTGTAATCCTAGCACTTTCGGAGGCCAAGGTAGGAGGATCACTCGCGCCCAGGAATCTGAGGTTGAAGTGAGCTATGTTGATGATATCATTAACATATCTGTTTTGCATGTGCTCTAGCCTGGAAAACAGCAGAGCAAGACCCTGTCTCCAACAACAAAAAACAAACAAACAAAACCCAAACAGGGTGATTGCTGATATAAAGGCTCAAGAAAAGGAGGAAGGGGAAGAAATCAAGGAGATAAGAGAAAATGTAATACTTAGAAAGGGAAAAAGATATGAAAAAAGCCAGGAAAGCAGCATGGGCTAGAGCACAGGCTAATTGCCACTATCCATTATTTCATGTGTGGGAAGGTGGAACTGAATACAAAATGAGGGCCCAGGAATGCTATTGTCAATGTAATAGCACAGAACATAGCACATTTTCTCTTGGCCCAGTTTTCTTTTCTTTAAGCCCGAGTAAGACAGCAGATGTAAAGGAAAACCATACCAAGACAAAGCAACATCTATAAAAGAGGCAGAAACATTAAAAAGTAAGGAGGATTACTTCAAAGTTACTTTCAGTGCTAAGTTTTCAAAAATATATCTATTCAACATACCTTTGCTTCAATGCGTAATCTTCTCCCATGAACAATGAATGGCTCCTTGGTAAATTCGTCAAAACTATACTGCCACTCACATGTAAGTTGTCCGAATGTTCCCTTTGTTACAAACAATACACCACTGCAAAAAGAGGAAAAAAAAAAAAAAAAAGGAAAAAGAGAAAGAATCTGCTTTAAAATTGAGGCACTTATATCCAGTAACAGCAGGACACACATTCTCTGTAAGTGCATATGGAACATTCACCAAGATAGACTATATTCTGGGTCATCGAAAACCTTAATGAATTTAAAAGAACTAAAATCACACAAAGTATGTTCTCAAATCATAATGGAACTAAACTAGAAATCAATAATAGAAAGATAACAAGAGTATTTCCAAATGCTTGGAAATTAACATACTTCAGACAATCCATGGGTCAAAGAATCTCAAAGGAAATTAGAAAATATTTCACACAGAATGAGAATGAAAATACAACATAAAACTTGGGGGATGCAGGTAAAGTAATGCTTAGTGGGAAATTTATAGTACAACATACTCACATTAGAAAAACTGAAGCACATACAAAGTTCAATACACAAGGCATTTCGTAAGAAATAGGAAACATTTACAGAACTGATCAGCCAATATTTGAAGGAACCTTCATGTAATTAATGCTTTAGAATAAATGCTTTTATTACTAAGGCTCTATGTAATATATTTCCCAACATATATCAGTAAGAGGCTTTTTCTAACCATGTTGAACAGAACTTTCTGAGAACCTTGTGTTTTTTAGGGGTAAAATCAAGTCCCATTATTGTCGATTGTAGAGGAAAATTTCAAAAAGCATCATCTTAGATTTTTAAATCATTTCTTGTTTTCCCACTTTGAGGAAAGAAATCAAGAAATGAAAATACATTCCCTCTCTAATAATTCTACTTAATCCTTCCTTCAAAGGCCTTTCTTCCCAATTTTTCTTTCCAGCATAAACATCAATTGTAGGTGCAACCAAACTTTAAGTAACATGCGAGGTCTGCCGGAAAGTATCTAGCCATGTAACATGAAAAATCGTATTAACAATGGCTGGATATTTTCCAGACAGACCTTTTATATTTCAAATTAAGGGACTGAGTTAAAAAAACATCCGGCTCCTAGATGGGATAGAAAAGGAGGAAGCTAATTAGGATTTATACCTCTCACCTCAATCTTCTGTCCCTGTTTCCCTCTTTCACCAATCCTAAATCATAGGGGCTGATGGAACAAACCTAGTGGTGTGCGAGTGTATCTCCAATCACGTGAAAAAGCAAAGATAGGCCAACGTAGCAGGTACCTAGAATTCCTCCTGATTCAAAGATTCTTTATCCTCAAACCCAAAACTTAGAAAGAAAAGGAAATTCTAAGTGTAAATATCACCTTTTAATCAACTACAACTAACTTACTTCCCTTATTCTGTCAATGTATGTGGTCTCATTTAAAGAGGTCTATTACGTGGAGAAAATAATTTTAAAAATGTTGCAAGATTTGGAAACAAACTATGTAATTGGCTCTTGTTTAACTTTGATGAGTCACTTTTCCTTCAGTCAGTCAATGGAGGAAGAGTTACTCAATACATGACTGAAAATCTGTAGGAACAAAAATGACCGCTGAGGTAACATCTGTAATTACAAAAGTCTAGAAACAAGTTACATGTAAATTATGATACATACTTCTAAATAAATATTAGGCAGCAATTTAAAAAATTAAGAAAGATTTCCATATGCTGACATGGAATAAACCTCAAAAATATACATCTCAAGTAAAAAATTAAAACTACTATGGTCTATATAACAGACTTTCAACTGCACTAAAGTACATATGTGTGTACATCTGTATAGGCACAGACTATTTCAGGAATACAAAGGAAACAAGTAAAACAAGTAAAAGTGCCTCTGGAAAGGGGAACAGAGGGACTGGTATCTGGGAAGGGAAGTTATTTTTACAGGTATAACTTTTAATACTGTGTGAGTTTTCCAAGTGGTATTACTTTTTAACTAAGAAAATTAAGATAAGGCTGTAAATTTTAGATTCTGAAATTTATTAGGATTAAAAACATTAAAAATAACTGCTAAGTATAGTAGTCAACTTGAACAAGACACTTACATTTTACCTTTCAATAGTGAACAAAACCATATAGATTTATTGAATACTCCTCCTTTCTATTTAGCCATAACTTCTCCCCTTAGCCACATTTTCACTCTCTACCACCTAGAAATCCCAGTCTTAAAACTGCATTTGCTCATTCCTCCCTGAGTTTAACAATAACGACTCCTACACACTTGCTCCTCTAAGGCTATACCATTGTATATTTTTTTTCCTTCAAGAGACAGGGTCTTGCTCTGTCACCCAGGCTGGAGTACAGTGACAGGATCATAGTTCACTATAACCTCAAACTCCTGGCCTCAACCGATCCTCCCACCTCGGCCTCCCAAGGTGCTGGATTACAGGCATGAGCTACTGGGCCCAGCCTCCACTGTGTATTTTTGCATGTATCTCCCTACTGTCTACAGGTCTAACTGAAGATGTCACTGTAGCTGAGAGTATCCACATAAAATTACATCTGTTTCCACTGGTATATCCACTTATGTAGTGAATCTATACATATTCTAACGAATAGATACCACCACAGGGCTGTTGACTTCTGGGATAACCTAAAATTGTACACTTTTTAAGAGAGGAGGACGCTTACCTTTGAGAGGACAGCTTTATGGAATTTCTGCATCCATCTGAATTGGTTACAACAAATACTAAAATATCTAATTTATAATTATGTTTGTACATGACTATGTGTTTGTCTGTAAGCGAGCACAAAACTAAACATGAATTTACGCGATGTTTTAGGAGCCAGGTTCACAGAGCAAGAGGACCTGAGTTAGCAGGAATCAGGGTGTCTATCCGAAACAAAAGGTGAATAACAACTTCTTCACCTAATGAGTGGCTGTCAGTTAACCCCTCACCAAATTACATTAGAGAAAGAAATCAAATTACCGTCTGGTTATCATTAACATATCTGTTTTATTGATCATGACATGGGTAAAATATTTGTATTTTGCAAATCTTCCATTTTCCATGACCTAAAAAGAAAGTGACAGACTATGAGAAAACTGATAAAATTCCTACATTAATGCAAGTAATGCCTTATGATCCTCTAAAAAACATTTAATGGGCATAAATCATTAACATACACCGGATATACATATATCAGAAAAATGATTTAATTACTCACAAAATCACTATTTCCTTTTAAAAGCATCTACTTGTACTACGTTAGTCAATATTACTCAATTCAGCAATATCAATCTTTAATGCTAGATTTGTAGAAGATAATGTTATCTTACAAATTGTAAACTTAATCTAATGAGGTATTAAATTATCACAGTTTATCTTATAAAATATATTAGCATATGATCACATCTGTACAAAAACATATGTAAACACTAACACTTATTTAAACATATGCATCATATAAATTACTACTAATATTAGCCTCTGCTTTGCCTCCTTCCTGGAAATTCCCTATCTGTCTTACAAACATGCTTTTCTTTATTAATTTCACAACTCACTCAAAAATAAGGAACAGAGAGTTTCTGGACAAACAGGAGACCCCAAGGCCTACTTAGCCTATGCAACAATCTTTGTTTATTTTCAAGACTGTTGAAACATTATCTATGGTATTGTTAACAATTCTTTGCTCCAGAAAATGTAAACATAACCATATAAATAAAATCATTATTTTAAATTCTATTTTCAATAATATTTGCTCTGAGAATGGAGTTACCTTGGCTATTTAACATATATAGCAGGCTAGACTACTATTTTTAAAGGCAAGAAATGTAATTGTGACTAAGATCCCTCTAGAAGAGGCATGATATGAATTAAGCCAAAATGTGAGAAATCTTTTAAGAAATTCCAAAAAAAGATATAAAGGTTTTAGGAAATTGTATCCCACGAAGTTATATCAAAAAACTAAAACTAGTTAGGTTAGAAGAAAGCTAAGAAGTAACTTGATAAAAATCTTGGTATATAAAAAAAAAAAAAATCTTGGTATAGAAGGCTGATAGAATAGTCTTCATTTTTATTGGAAACGGAAGTAAAAACAGAAAAAAACAACTAAAATAGCAGGATGAGTTACATAAATTAATTGCATAAAAGAAGTTTTTAACTTCAAAAATTGTCAAATATTGAGGGACGAATATCTTTACTACTTACTGTAGTAGGTATGGCAAATAAACACAAATATCTTGTATTACAAATGAAACAGGGACATACCACAAATTCAGAAAAAATTACTAAGAATTACAGTACTCCCCCCCTTATCTATGGAGGATTTGTTCCAAGATCCCCAGTAGATGCCTGAAACCGCAGACAGTACTGAACTCTACATTTACTTTGTTTTTTCCTGTATAGACATACATGATAAAGTTTAACTTAAAATTAAGTACATTAAGAGATTAACAACAATAACCAATAATAAAATAGAACAATCATACCCATATACTATAATAAAAGTTATATGAATGTTTATTTCTGGAATTTTTCATTTAATATTTTCAGCTCATGGTAACTGGAAACATGAAAAGTGACCATAGATAAGGTGGAACTACTGTATTAAATAATTTATAAATTATGCAAATGAATATGAAAACCTAGGTGAAATGGACCATGTTTTAAGAGAATATAAATTATTAAGAGAAAGAAGCATCATATGTTGGAGAGGAAGAGTAGAAATTATTTGCAGTGTATCTGGAAAACCTAAGTATACAAAACTGAGTAATCAATTTGGAAATGGAAGAAAAAAAGTCCTGTTTACAAAGGTAATAAAAAAAGATAAATATTTACGCATAAGTTTAACAAATAATGTGCAGATCTCATGTGATAAAAGCCATACCACTCTATTGAGGGAAATAAAAGAAATTTTAAAAATGGAAATCCATTTCTTATTCTTTGATGTAAAAATTCATTATAATAAAGATGTTATTCACCCTCCCCAATTTTTACACACAAACACATACACACGCACTCGCACACTCTCTCTCTCTCTCTATCCATGTGACCCCAAGAGGGTGGTTTTTGGAAGAAGGGATGGGGGAGTGAGAAGTGATTTGCCAAAATTATACTCAAATTTATATAGGGAAAAATGTGATAATATCCGGTAAATTATGAAAGGAGAATGAGAAGAACTACACTTAGGAGACATTAATACAATTTATAAAGTAACAGTAGTGAAACAGTTTGGTTCTGGTGAAAGTATATATAGACATATCAAAGTAAAGAATACAGATTATAGAAACTGACCAATACGTACATAGGATTTTGTAAAATCCTATATATCCAAATGTAGGCAATTATGAAATCAAGATAACTTTTCAAATTAGTAGATAAATGCATGTATTATCAAATAAATGGTGTTTTTAGACAACTCACTGGCTAAAGCTGATCCTTACTTCTCTCTTTACACCAAATTAATTCTACATAGATCAATGATTTAAATATATAAAATGACTATGAAAGTACTAGAAAAACTAGCATCTTAATAATCTTGAACTGAGAAAGGTTAAAATTTGACAAAGTCCATAAAATATAACATAAAAAAATTTGTAAGTACATAGAAATTAAACACTAATGAATGGCAGAATAAGCAAGTAAACAGAAATAAAGCAAAACAATACATAGTCAAAGGAAAAACTGGGAAAATATTTGTCTATACAGAGATATAGAGCTAATTTCATAATACAGAAAATCCTAGCAATTTGAATAAATCAACAGAAGAAAAATGAACAAACCAGTAGAAAAATGCGTAAACAACACGAACAGGTAGGTTAGCAAAAAACAGTATCTAACTGATAAACATTAAGAAAATGTTCAACTTAACTCAAAATCAAGAAAATGCAAATCAGTTAAGCAAACCCTTTGATCAATTCAGCAATTCCACTGCTAGAATTTATCTTATGTAAATGTAAGCCAAGATATACATATAAGAACCTTCACAGCAATACTATGTTAAAAGTACAAAATCTAAATATTCATTAAAAGGGGACTAATTAAATAAATTATGGTGCAGCCATACAATGGGACATTATGAAGTCATAAAAAAGAAAAAAAGTAGATCTATGTGTACTGACAGAGAGAGATGTATAATATATATTAAGTAAAAATAAATTATATTACTGAGCAGACTCTATAGGGAAAAAAAGCAGAAACACATACATGTACATACACTTATATGTGCATAAGAAATTTCTGGAGGGTACACATCAATCTGTTAACAGCATTGATCTCTGGGTTTTTGAAGGGTAATGGTGGAGGTGTAAGTAAAACTTTTACTTTTAACTTTATAACCTTTTATTCTGTTTCAGTTTTTTGATATCTGAAAAGAAACTGGTTTACAAAGTCTTTCCTCTGTTCAATATGGCTAAGTTTTAAAATCAAGAATACAAATGTTGACTTCCTCAAGAACACCATTATTAATAGAAGTCAAGAGTCTACATACCCCATTAATAGATCATAACCTTCAAATAATTTAAATGCTATGTTTCACTCCATGTATCCAGCTTCTGTTTCAATATTAAGTTTGGGCACTGCAGTTGAGCCCACCTCTCTTCGCTTTCCACTTTTCAAACCCAACTTAAATCTAACCTGTGCATAAGGAATTAAGCCAATTTCAATTGTCACAAAAGCTTAAACAAAATTTAAGAAGTTAAATTCATACAATGCTTTCTGGAGTTCATCCAAAACCTTAAATGCCACACTTGAAAGATGAATGAACGTTGAGGTCACAGCAGTCTGCTTTGAAACATAATCAACTGTATCTTTTGTTATCAGAGTAAATATATTTGAGTAAGCATCAAAGGTAACTCATTGCACAGCAAAATCTTGCTTACTAGTCTCCATTATATGGAGACTACATGTAAATATGAAATAAAAACATTATGAGCAGAATCCAAAACTTTGAAACTAAATCCACAGAAGAATGAGAGGACATGATAGATTAATTAGCCAAATCATTTTCTATAATGTTTTAGAGAGTCTACAAACATCATGCTTTAGTTGCAATTTTTTGTCTAATTATTTGACTTTACAAATAAATTATATATTTTAGGGAAAACCCCCAAAATTTTAGACCTGAAAAAAATGTTATTGTTTGTCCAAACCAATCGCTTCCTTTTACCCCTGAAGAAACCGAGGATCAGGTAAGTGTCTAATTAATTCATCTAAATATTCACAACAATCTTGTGTCATTAGTTACTTGCTTGGGGTTAGTTGCAAAACCAGGCTCAGAAAATTGGTTTCTTCACTTCTAATTCCACTATTTTTCACTAAACCATGTTTCCTCTTATGGTATCAGTCACACTTTCCCCATGGTACCTCAAATATGTCTTTGACATCCCTGGATGCTGGCAGTTGCTGAGGCAGGCTGTGAAGGCAGATTATGCTGGCTGAAATTTTTTTAGGTCAACAGTGTCCAAAGAGTTTAGTGTCAATATCCTGTCTTTCCTTCATCCCAAACAGATGCTAGGTATAAATGGTTCTACTAAAATAATTTGTGATACTCTTTAAAATAAATGAAGAATTAACAAAATCAGAATTAGGAAGTATCACGTAGGGCATACACATAAAAGTCAGTATTTGTCAGAACTATTAAGGAATTAACTATAGCCAATACTTTAGACATGTTAGCTTCATTTATATGCTTTAGTGGCTAAAGGAAAAACATTTTTTCCCTTATTCATCAAGAGTATATATGAATTACCTATCACAGATTAAGAATGTTCTAAAAGAAATAAACAAAAACACAGAGAAAACTGTATTCATTATATATAATTGTTAGAATCTGCAGGCAGCAGTTAAAACGTATGGTTATTGGTAAACAGGTCCCTTTTGCATTTAGAAAAGATGAGTATGTAAACTATACCTTATTAGATGTAAATAAATCCAAACCAAATTAATCATACATTCAGAAACAAACAAACAAACAAACAAAAAAAGCAGTAACTTGAAGGATAGTAGTATCAGAGTTACCCTCTATTAATATCCGTATTTCCTGTCAGGTCGGCCCCAATAAAAACATAAGCTA